TAGAGAACCCAGGTTTAGTTCCCTGCTATCACATGGCAGTAACAACCATCTATAACTGCAGCAGCAGGGGATCTGATGCCCTCTTCTGGCCTCCCAGAGCATCACAAGAAACATAAAAAAATAAGTTAAAAACCATTCCTAGGCTGGCAAGATGACCATTAGGTCCAGGCACCTGCTGCCAAGTCTGACCATCTGAGTTCAATCCCCAGAACTCACATGACAGAAGAAGAGAAGCAATGCCAACTTCAGTGGGTGCAGGTGGGTCTGTGACACTCTCACGCACAGGGTGGAGACCAGAGGGGACTAAAGACTCAAGCACAGGGCAGAGAATGGAGGGCACTGAAAACTGAGGTGTGGGCAGACTCAGGGTGATCCTTCTGGGCGGGGTGGGTCCTCTCTTGGTACAGAGAATGCCCAGGGAGACAGAAGCAGGGGGTATGTTGGGAGTTGGGGCTCAGAGCAGAAACCCCCACTCACCTTAAGCACAGGGCAAGGACTGAAAGGAACTGAAGGCTGAGGTGTGGGCAGACTCAGGGTGATCCTTCTGGTCGATACAGGTCCTCACTAGGCTCAGAAAACGCCCAGAGAGACAGAAGCAGGGGGATGTAGGGAGCTGGGGCTCATAGCAGGGACCCCACTCATCTTAAGCACAGGGCAAGGACCAGGAAGCTCTGAAGACTGAGGTGTGGGCAGATTCAGGGTGGTCCTTCTGGTCGGGGCAGGTCCTCTCTAGGCGCAGAAAACGCCCAGGGAGACAGAAGCAGGGGATGTAGCCAGTTGGGGCTCATAACAGGGACCCCACTCACCTTAAGCACAGGGCAAGGGCCAGAAAGCACTCTCTTAATGTTAATTCTTACGAGCTTATTTGTGTCTGGGAAACAGAGGTTTAAGGGTCACTGAGAAGCAATGATTATGCAGCCATGGCTGTGTAGCAGCAGCAGCAGCAGCAGTTCAGGTGTCTGCTATCACTGCCCTGTCCCAGCACACCCACCCCACAGTCTCCTGTGGCTTGGCTACCTATCACACACCTATTTTGCACATTTCCCCTTGGTAATTGCCAAGGGGCCACCTTCATAGCAAATTCACACCATCTTCTGTGATCCTCACCTTGGTATTAAATCTTCTATCACTGAAGAGTGCTCATAGACTGACCTATTAGACTTTAGCCACGTAAAGTCCTTTAGAACCCAGTCTCATTCATCCTCTCTGGCTCCTTACCAAGATATGCTAAAACTGGCAGTATCAGACCCATGCGGGTGTGTTGAAATTCAAGGGTACATCTAGAACTTAAGACTTGGGCAGGTGGTGTATATATATATGAAGGCCTGATGGTAGGAGGGTCATGCTGTCTTGTCACTCACAAGCTGATTCTTCAGTCTTCTAATATAAGACAATGTAAGCTAGTAATGGGGGGGGAAGCTTTGGAGATGAATAAATGACACTCAGATGTCATATCTGTGAAGGTCCCATTCTTTTTAAACCATTGTTGGGTTGGCTGTTAGCTCCCCTTCCATGTGAATCCATTGGCCCTGATAAGTTTATCAATTTCACAAGTTAGTCCATTGGAAAGAGGCAACCTTAATTGGGAAAGTGCTCCCCACCCCGACTGGCCTGTGGGCAAGCCTATAGGAAATTTCTTGAGTAATGATTGATATGGTGGTCCCAGCCCATGGCATGGGAGTGGGAATCAGTGTCACCCGTGGTCAGGTTGTCCTGAGTTGTGTAAAAAGGCGTGTTGAGCAATGTGAGCAAGCCAGTAAGCAGTATTCCTCCCATGGTCTCTACTTCTGTTCTTCTCAATCCCTACCTTGATTTCCAGCCTTTACTTTGATGATGGACTGTGATGTGGAAGTGTACGCTGAAACTCTTCCCTCCCCAAGTTGCTTTTTAGTCATGGTGTTTTGTGCAGCATTAGAAACCATCATTAAGACACCATTTCTCTATCAAGAAAGGAATTGCAGAATGAGAAGTTTGCATTCCACCATATACAAGATCTATTGCAGCAGATAGGGCATAATCACACAGCACATAGGCAGAGCCCCAATTAGAGCACAGGGCTGGAGGTGTCCAGAAAAGAAGCACTTCTGCCCTATGAGTATGCGTTTATATAAAGCTTTTAACAGGGTGTGTGGTGGCGCTGGGTTCCTTTCTTCTTTCTTAAACAGGAATGGACAGAATGCATATGGTCAGTTGGATCATTTTAAATGACATAGGTGGAACCTTTGAAATTCCCAGAAGCCAGCTGAGCCTTCACCATATCTGCCTGCAGCAACTGTTACTCTTTTTTCCATTGTACTTTCCCTAATTGGGTACTGAGTGATAATCATTCTCATACCCTCATACCCTCTCCCTCCCCTCTCCTTAACTCCAGCTGTTGAGATTACCAGCTTTGACTACCCACCACCCAACAAGGAACCTAAGTGACCATGGATTTGTATTGAAAGCTCTGAAAACATGAGTCAAAAAACACATTCCCTTTTTAAGGTTTTTTTTTCAGGTATTTTATCACAGCAACAACAAAAATTCCAACAGATCATGTTGGTATCAGTGGCAATAAGATTAATTAGCTTAGGACATAAGATATGGGCTCCAAGTCATAGATATGTTGAGTTTTAGATATTCAGGAGACATCTGAATTAGACATTAGCTTTTTGTTCCGTATGACATTATAGTCATTATTTGTATATTGATATAACCGATGGTTCTTTCTGGCCCAATGGGCTCTTTTAAAAACTAGCTACCAGTCTTTTATTGTGGCTTCTAAACTTTGAATCATTGCTACAGCCTTACTCACTCTAACACATGCTGAGAGTTAAGGTTTTCATCTTTCTGAAGATCACAGCTCCATAGTAATAGGCCCAAAATTTAGCAATAGTAATTTGCAAAAAGATGCATGTAGTATCTCACAAAGGTTGTCATTTGGACTGTTTCTTAGCCCAATGAGATATACTGTACCTATCAACAGTTTGTGACTAAGGAAGCCTTAATTTGGGGCACATATAATTAACCTGCTCTACAGAAATCAAGGCAGCATGTAACTAGTCAAGTAAAGTCTCATACAGTATGAACAAGATTATCATACCACTGCATAAAGGAAGTGTTTCACATAAATGCAATGCCGGCTGCAATTGTGACTGAAGGGAGAAGTGATAAAAAAATGTGCAAAAAAATACACTAGTATAAAATATACCACCAAAAGATCAGCTACTGTGTGACTTCTTACACTTACCAGTGTTTAACTTTAATATTGTAAGGACTACAGGAGCCTTCAGCTAGACTCAAATAGATTAAAAACTGTTCATTGTCAAAGAACAGGTTTTTGGCAGAAATCATAGTCAAACTTGATACCAAAGTTTATGCACTTACCATTACATAACCATGGATCTTCAAACATTTTATGTGGTTAGTAATTCTCTAAATTGTTTGAGGTTTTTTTTCTTTCTTCTTTAAAAGTGAAACTTCATAATAACTTATAATTTGGGCAATTACAAGTATTTCTATGAAAAACTAAATGTGACAAAGAAAAACTAAATGTGTCTCTTTTTCTGGCGTAGAATCTGAGTCACCTGTGTCCCAAGGGTAGTCAGTCTCATAGCAGCTGGAAACATTCACTGCATATTTTCTGAATAGATGATTTTCACCCAAAAGCCTATCATATATGTGACAGCTGTGTTGTGAAATATATGCAGTGCAGATTTCATGTCCATACTCTTTTAGATCAGAAAATCTAAAGCACCAAACTGCAAAGGTAATACACATGCTCTAGGGGAAATAAGCCTTCTTTAGTACTGAAAAAAACTGAGATTAATTTACTCTTCTTATAACTTTCGCCTAGAAAAATCAAATTAAGCTGAAAGGAAAATTATTTGCAACTATTTTGAATTCTATGTATGCAAATCCCGACTACAACACTTGTTATTTTTAATATCTAGGTATTAATGAGATCTAAAAAGATCTGATATTAACTATGAAAGCCATCATTAGAATTGTCCATCTGTGCTAATAAACTGACGAAGTCAAAATGATCTTAAGTAAAAGGGGGGAAATTTCTACGAGCACTTGAAAATGATTTTATTTTACAACTCTCTTTACAATATCTGACACTTTGATCTCATGAAGACATGGTACGTACGACCCTGAAACTGTTAATCTGGTAAGTAAAACTGTTCTGAAAGATGAGAGACATTTGTGTGTGTGTGTGTGAATTCTAATAAAAACAAAGCACACATTAGTAGCATCATATATTTAATGGTGAAAAATTTGAAGTATAAAATTAAACAACACATGATTTCAACATTTAAAAAACATTAACACTTCTTACCAAAACAATGTAATGAATATCAAAGCATAAATGAATCATAACTATAAAAACCTTAAATATATTAACAGCAAAATTGTAATTTATTTGTGTAACAAATATTAACTAAAATATTTAGTTACTTTCAAGGACCACAATGGTAAACTGATTTTTTATTACAACTTCCAAAAATTTGCATCTTAATCTCTTTTGTCTCATCATTTCTTTCTACATAATATTTAGATGCCTCTGGTTACATAACTGTTCTGAACTCCTCTACAGATAGCGATCCTTGGTAATCTAGTCTAGTACAAACACTGTCTCTATGTACTTCAATATTAGTGAAATGATGCTTTACAAAGATGTTATACAAAAAAACATAAACTACTGAATCTTCAAACTCAGGAATTAGAAACCCCCCAAGTTTACAAAGACAATAGTAGTCTGTCACCGAATAACTTTTAAATGCATCTCTGCAAATTCTACCACTTTTGTCATTCTGAATTATAACTGATGTTTAATATGTTAAGATATAGTTTTTAAAGTCAAATGTGCAAACCCAATTCAAAAATAGAACAGTACTTATAATTTCCATGCCTTATACAAAGAAAATGTTATACTAATGTATCCAGACTTTCTTCAGAAGAATGAGGCCTGATTGGAGATATATAGTCGTTGTCCAACATGGCTGCCATTAGCAAGTGATATTGTTGGTGACAAGGGATAACTTGGATAAGAGTAAGGCCTTGAAGTATAAGGAAGCACGCTGGGAGTCCCAGAAGAGAGGGTAGCACTAACAGGGGAAAGACTATTTATTGAGCTGCGACGGAAATTGTAGTCTGTAAATAAATATATGAACAATTATGCTGCACATCTTTGTGGACACAAATTTAATTCAAGAGACAAAACATTCAGACGACAATCACATTTTAACATAATGTTCTAACATTTAGATACCTGATGATACTGTAATGATGGTGGATTACAATCACTGCAGTGCAAACACTAACAGTTACATCAAGTCAGGACTCTTTCCTTAACTGACAGCACTGCTTCAAAGGTGTTACTATAGTGCATCCGTGGGCACCTTTTTCTTTCTAATGCAGAAAAAGAGAACCTCTGATTTCTCTTTAATCAACAAAGAAGCTTCTTTAAATTTGGTTTTGACACCAAGTTTATCATGAGGGGAAAAATAGAACAGCAAATTCAGTTTCATTTTTTTTAAACTAAATTAGGCATCAAACCAGCATAAACACTGCCCCTGGACTTCTGGTACAAACTAACTGTCCAAAATTTCATTATTTAAAGGCTGGCACAAACACTCATATAACCAAACACATCAATTTAACATTAGATTCTCACTGGTAACACAAAACAGGAAAATGAATCATCTCTACCAAATGAACTTCAACAACCATTATCAACTTAATAGTATAGAAAAATATCCAAAATTAACCAAATTTTAAAACAATTATATTTGAAATATTAATTTCAAACAAACATTCATCTTATGTACCAATAATTTCCTGCTTCCTTAATTATAGTAATTCTGTATGTGTGTATTTTATTGACCAAATTTGTAGATCCTGTACTTTCCAAAAACTCAACTATGCTCTTTAATCTAGTGTAAGTCAAAGTGGTGGCTGCAACTGTAAAAATGATCATGTATAAAAGTTGTGGTATTGATGGAATGGAAGAAATGGAATAGGGTCATTTAATGTACAGGTCAAGCTTTCCCCCTCCAGTATCATTCACTATGAGACCTATTAACACATGAGCATCAACTTAATGTTGTCATGGGACTTAATGTTTAACGAACAGGACTGAGACCAACTGCAGGAGAATAAGCTCAAGCAACATCAGAAAGGACCTATTTAAGAAAAAATAAAAAATGAAATCAGTTGTAAATAGTTTTAATTGCTAGCACTGTAAAACTTTAATTAGATTAATTTTATAAACTAATTTTTATAAATGGCACCACATCAATAAAGCAGCTTATTTTAAGAAATGTTTTGAAATGCCCAAAACAATGTTCAAAATATCTGGATATTTTGAATTTTGAAATTACTTTGAAACCATTTGCTTTTCTAACATTAGATTTATTTTAAAGACTCTACTTTACCCAAGGGTTAAAGTATTGACTATAAACCGAAACATTAGATTTTCTATGTATTGATGAATAAATTGCCCTTTAAGAGTTCTGATTCTTTCCTGTTGCAGACTGTTATCCAAATACAGTCCCTTAGTAGCCACATACTGCTAATTCACCTAGCTCTTTAAATTTTACTAATGCAGTCATCAACAACATGGTTTAAAAGTGACATCAGCAGACAGGAAATGTTTTCAAGGAGATACCATGCTCTCTTTTGAGTTTCCATCCATTCAAGAGGTAATGGAGCCAGACTACTTATGAAATGTGGACTCAGAAGGTAGAAGAAGATTGAAAACCAAGCTAGATAGCTAGCTGGCTATGAGTATAAAACAGCATTTCTGGCAACCCTTTACCATAAATCTTTAAACAAATATGGATCACCTACTATATTCTTCTCATTTTTAAAGAAAACTACATTAAGTCCAAAATTAGAAGTTGACTCATAACTTTATTTATGTAAGATAATGAGAAAATCTCCAAACTACTCCAAGAATTGGGCAAGTGAAAAGACTTTAGCTAGATGTTCGTTAAAATTTCACAAGCGCTTCATAAATAAATTCTATTCCAAAAACCACTGTGAATTTAAGTATATTCAGAAAAACATCTGGGTGCTTAGAAAATAGAACACATGTCAAATAAGATAATAAATTAAATGTAAAATAAAATAGAGAGCTAAATAAGCCTAGGAGTAGAAGCATATTCCTTAGATATATTTTACATATCATAGAAGACAGCAGAAAAAGAAAAACTTAACAAATGAGTTAAAATTCCAAGCATGTAGATACTGGCCCCAACCCTATCCCAGTTATTCCCCACTTTGAGTACATCCTCAACTCTTAAGTCCCACTGTTTCAGACCCAAACTTTTTCTTTTTTATGAATGATACAGAGACAATTTCAGAGTTTAAATTTTATACTTCATGTAATTCAGCTGTCTTGATATTTAAAATTGAGGTGCAATTTACAAACAGTAAAAGGCACACACTCTATAATGTATTAATTTACTGAATTTTGACAGTTATATAAGTTTATGCAATCCACACTAAACAGATTTTTTAAAAATCCATCAGATCACCTGTCTTTTTTCAATTTGTAGTCACTTTCTGATTTCTACCACCATGGATTAATTCATCTAGTTTTGGATTTTGTTATTTTTTAAAATATTTGCTATTCTAGCTTCTTTTGTTTAATATACTTTCTAAGATTCATGTTATCTATTTAAGCAATTTCTTCCATTTAATTGCTAAGTTTCATCACTCAGCTGCATGAATATACCATGATTTTTATGCAATCACCTATTGATGAATATGTGAACTTTTCTAACACTGATCTCTTACAAATATGTTCTATGCTCCATGCTCATTCTTATATAAATGCTTTTTCCTTTGGGGTAAATACCTGGGAATAGGGTTTCTGGGGAGATATTGTGCTCTAGAATTCTTTACTGTAACCACACTGTATTCAAACATAAAAACATGAAGTTGCCAGTTGATTACAGCACATCTTCTACAACAGTTGGTATGCCAGCATATGTATACACACACGGGGGTGGAGGGTGCTGCCTACTACATCTTACTATGGCTTTGGCTGGCCTGGAATTCACCTTGTAGAAAAGTCTGGCCTCAAATTTGTACCCATCCTCCTATTTCTGCCTCCATATGTTGTGATATCAGGTATGCACCACCAAACCTGACCTAGTATTTTTAGGTATAGCTATGTCAATAAATGTGATACTGTATTTCACTGTGTTTTAATTTAGAATCCCTTATGACTAATAATGTAAGCATTACATATGTAAATATCTTTGTTCATGTATGTTAAGCCTCTTGCTTATCAATATTGGTTTCTTTTTGACTATTGGTGCTAATAAACTTTTTACTAATCTAAATCCAAATTAAAGGTACAGAATGGACTGAAACTTTACAAGTTGTTAATTCAAATGATCCCAATTCATATGAATAACAAAGACAGAAGGCAGTTAATTAGGTAAGGCATAGATCCATGGGTATATGGATATACAAGTTAAAAATTTAGACCTCCTGACTCCTAGGAAGGTATTGTTTCCATTTGGCCATTCTTTTAAGAAACCTTAAGCAGAGTACTTGAAAGAAAACATCTCCAAAGTTCTCCATTTCAAAAGAGCAGAAGGTCAAGTCAATGGCGCTTTCTCTAAGATGCCTGGCTGTGGCTTGCACCTATCCATCTTCACAACTTCTGTTCTCAATGCATGCAGCTCCCTCTATATTTCCTTATTTGCACTAGTGAGGAGAGCAACCATGAGAATGTTCTAAAAGAAATCTTCCTTCCTTCCTTCCTTCCTTCCTTCCTTCCTTCCTTCCTTCCTTCCTTCCTTCCAGTGTCTCATGTATCCCAGGCTATCCTTTAACGTGTTCCAGGGATGAGCTTGATTCTCATCCCTTTGTGCCTCTACCTCCCCAGTATCTGAAATAATAAGAAAACATGAACCACAATAAATCTCTCTAGAGACCAAAACTAGCACAAACAAAACGAGGACAACATATAAAGAAAGTGCCCACTGACACTAAAATTAGTCTAGCTGCTTTCCTTTTAAAGAAGCAAGAAGACCAAACAAACCATATTGTGAGATGTCGATTTGTTCCCTGTGTACTAAAGATCGTAATGACAGGCTCTTTCTACTGTTAGTTTCTCAACTGTCTAGACAGCAGCCTCTCAAAGCAAGAACCATGAATGGAGCTCACCAGATAAATATCTGGGCCAGACTGAAGAGAAAAGGCTTAGACTTGGGTAAAGACAGCAACTCTCCTCAGGTTTCATTTTTGCCAGTAAATCAATCCTCACAATCACTCTAAGTCAAGTTTTAGGGTTAAAAGAGGTAGTTCTAAAACAGCACTCTGTGTTTGAAATTTAGGTAAGATTTAAGATCTGCTAAAATCTGTGAGGATAAATGTAGAGTCTAAAATTTAAGTGTGAAGAATAATAAAGATATTTGTCATAGACATTAATAATCTCAGATAATGCTTGTCTATCACTTAGTACATGCCAAAACTAACCATATGAGATCAGTTACAATGGAGACCCTTCTAAAAGCATTGCAAGTACTCTCATTGCTCCCTTTGATAATGCTGAATTAAGGCACATCATGGTGAAGTAACCCACTCAGGACAAAGAATTATTAGATGGGCTGATTCCTTTACATGCAAAAAATTAGTTTTAGCAATTCATAAACTACCTTCAAGCTGCACCCATTCCCCCACCCACAGGTTTCTTTCTTGTGCCCTGGTGAGAAAACCACACAGTAAATTGTTATGGAAACAATTTAGAGTCAAAATATTATTTTAATAATGTAGAAAAACATCTCATTCTAAAGCTTCAGAAACATCAGCTATTTGAAACATAGTGTTCACTTTCAACTGTATCTGATTTAAACTATTTACAATCTTAGCAGTTCAATTTAGATATCAGAAAATTGTTAGATTCAAAGACTGGAAAATATCTGAAATATGGAAACCCATTTAACCTTTAAATGTTTTTCCTTAACTAGTCTATAGCTAATAAGCTCTTATAAGCAAAATATCACAGAGGGTTTTATTATACAATTCTAAGCATTTCCTCATATGGTCAGGAGAGGATTAGCTGAAAACTGTTTTTCTGAGAACAAAATATACACAATATTCCTAAGACATGTTTTCTTACCTGCTTATTTTCTCCAAATTCTTCTACACAGGTCCAGGCTGAAGAGACTGTGTTCCCTGTCTGTAAGCAGTGAAGACAGAAAACAATTGAGTCTTTAGGTTGGTGTTATCCCTATCTTGGAAGTGCATGGAATCCGTGATAACTTTAGTTTAAAACTCTGATTGGTAAATTTAAAAATGGGAAAAAAGAAACAATTGACAACCAGGTATCATTTCTGGATTCTGAAAAGATGAACAGAGAACAGTCTTCTGATATCTAAATGAAAATCATCCAAAAAAACTTCTGTCAATTTAGTTCTTACTCATCAGTGTATTCATCAGAAAATGCTCTCCAATTAAGATAAAGAATTTTTAAAAATTAAGCAAGGATGCATAATTTCAGAAAAGCAGAGAAATTTATGCAAATTCAGTAAGTGTTCTGTAGGTATAGTTATTTACACATGAAGTATCATTTATTTCCTGCCTTTAGAAGAGATAGACGGCCAAAACAATGGTAAACTTCAAAAACTTGCTTGACAAGTCAATTTTCCTAGGAAACTACTATAACCAAACACAGTTCCACTGTAACATCCATCTGTTTTAGCTATTACCACTTCATATGCCTTTCCATCAAGAATATATATCCAACTCCATGCTAAGAAACTACATACAAGTATGCACAAGTAAAACATGCCTGATGATCTCCAAAAGCACTGTAGCATTTTAAATAATACTTTAAAGAAAAATTCAGCATAAAAATGTCACAGTAACTTGTTACCACATAATGAACTAGGCATTAAACAATTTTGTTTTTAAGCACAAAACACATTTCTGAAAAACAATGACAACATCTAAGAGGATAACAAATTGTAGGATCATGAACAAAGAAAATTCAAACAGCTACAATCTTCTTTGAGAATTGTCTTTTGTCCCTGGTAAGGACGGGTCAAGTCTGAAAAGGGAAATGACAAAAAAGGGGGAAATTATAATACATGGAAAATCAGTGAAGCTTAGAACATACTGGTAGCTAAGGAGTAGTTACTGTTAAGGCAAGACTAACCCTGGTAAAATTCAAGTTGACTGACTCATGAACTGAACTCAAGTAGACCAGCAGCGTGAACAGAACTCAAGTTCACTACACTAAACTGAGCTGAAAAAGCATCTCATTTCCCATTGGGAATAAAACAATCTAGACTTTTCAATCCTTTGACACCTTTGTGATGAGGAAATAACTCCTCTCTGAGTAAAGGTAGCATCATGTTAGACTTCAAATTCTCTATTCTCTATAATTTTTCATATGAAATATCTGGCATACAATAAAAAATCAGTATATTAGAAAATAAACTAGATCATCTAAAGTTAACAAAAACAGGTCCCTATAATATTTAGATAATGAAATTTCAATCTGGATATTAAAATAATTATGTATTGACAATGGCACATAAACCCACATGTAGGCCAGTGAGAAAACAGAGGACCTGGAAGTGATCAAATTTTTGACAGAGGTTCTTACTAGTGTACATCAGGGGAAAGACAGCAATAAAAAGCTGGGAATGTGCATTATAGGATAAAACTAAACCTCTCTATCTTTCATGCTGCACAAAAATCAAACATTTAATGTAGCTAAACTTCTAAACTATAGGGGATTCATGCCAAGATATGAGGATAGGAAGTGACTTTCTGAATAGCTTGGGACACAACAGCAAGAACTGACAACTGAGATTGCAGCAAGTAAAGTCTCTGCACAACAAAGGCAGCAGTGAATGAAGAGAGAGCCTTACATATGAGAGAAAATCTTTGTCAGCTGACAAAGAATTATTATCCAAAATACAAAGAAATCAAAGAATGCGTTGTCAAATCATCCAACCAACAAATGAGGTGAAGAGACAGCTCTCAAAAGAAATATAAATGGCCAATAGATTTATGAAAATGTGTTCAGTATCTTTAGCCATTACGGAAATGCAAATGCTTAAAAGGAGTAGGGATCCTTACCCATTGCTATAGGGGTGTGAATTAATCAATCAGTATGGAAATTCCTCAAAAAACTAAGGATGGTCACATGATCTACACCAAACTCCTGGGATATACCCAAGGTGTTCTATGTCTGCACATCACAGATATATCTGTACATCCATGTTTACTGCAACACAGTCACATTAACAACATAATGAAACAAGCCCAGCAACAGATGACCAGATAAAGGAAATGTGGCATATATATGTATACCAAGGAGTTTTATTCAAACATAAAAATGAGATTGGGAGGCTACCAAGATGTCTCAGTGAATAAAAGTGCTTACTGCTGAACTTAACAACCTGAGTTCAACTCCTGGGATCTACAGAGTAGATACAGAAAACTGATTTCTGCCCTCCTTTTGCATGCTATGCACCTGTGTGCCCATACACATACACATGTACACAAACACACACACACACACACACACACACACACACACACCTCTCATATGCAAACTCTGTATTTAAAAGCAAAACCCCACAAAAGTAGTGACACTGCTTGTACTGAGGAACGGGATCAGTAGGATGACTGAAGAATGAACAGAGAGTAATACTAGTAGATTTAGCCAAGGAACATAAATACATGTATGGTAGATATCATGATGTTAGGATGAAAGGTATTTTTCTTGTATGATTAATGCTCACCAATAGGGCCTGGGGAGAAAGCTCAACATAGTGCTTGTGGCACAAGAATGAGGATTGAAGCTGAGGTCCCCAGCACCCACACCAGAGCCTGGAAGGATGTAATTTCAGTGTTCAGAAAGCAAAGACTTACCCTTAGGGTAAGCTAACAGAAAGGAGGCAAATGAAGCGGACAACACCAGATGTCAGCCTTGGGCCACCACACGCACACACATACATGTTCATATAGTAAAAATGAGCAAACATACATGTCCATACAGCGGGAATACTCATACTGCATACGTGCATGCTAAATTTTTTAGAAGAAACTGGAAATCCTAAATTGAGCTACACATGGTGACTCAGGTCTGTAATCCAAGCTTTGAGGAAGCAGACTTAAGCTACAAAGCAAACTAATCAAAACAAGTATAAAATCAAGTAAAATTCCAAACCTGAGAAATCCAAATCAATGCTAAGACTGAACATACAAAAGAGTAGAAAATAGTGAAAGTGTAAAGGCCTAACAGGTGTGTAAGCAGAATGATAGAAGCAAAGGAGAAATAGGTATTTGAAGACAATACTAGACGTTTCTAAGATACATAATAAAACCTGTTAAAATAGCAAAAATAATCTTCTAAAAACCAAATATATGAAACAGGAAACTGAAATAATTTCATCAGCATATCCATGCAAAATCTGAATGTTTTCAGATAGATGCTTTTGCTTTTAATGTTTAAAAAACTTGCTGTTACCTAGCTCATCATTTGGTATATGTGCACACATATGCCACTGATTTATCCTAACGTGACACTAGTTCGTCCTATGGTACATCTGAGCACATATGCCACTGATTTATGCTTGTGTGACACTACAGAATCACGGGGAAATGGCAGTCTTCCACAATTGTAAATAAATGGAATGGGGGCTGGTCTAGTGGGCAAAGCGTTAGTTTTGTAGTTAACCTGATGACCTGAGTTCAGATACCCAAAATCTCCTTCAAAAGCTGGATATAGTAACACAAACTTCTGTAATGCCAGTGCACATATATGGGGAAGTGGGAGGCAGAGAGAAGACATGACCAAGCAGCTCCCAAGATAGCTGGCAGAAAGCAGAACCAACCAAAAACCTTATCTCAGCAACGTAGAAGACAGTATCCAACTCTGGAAAGCTGTCACAGGACTTCCACGGGCATGTCATTCTCATTCCCACTCACAAAGATGTCATATACACGCACACAAAACAAACATTAAAAGAAGTTAATACATACAAGGGGGCTATGATCTTAGTTGGGTAAACTGCTAGCCTTGCGTATATAAAACCAAGTTCCTTACTCTCTGCCCTCTGGTACATAGGGAGTAGGAGAACAGCTTGAGCTAAAAATCCTGGATCCAAAACAAAACAACAACAACAATAAAGGACAATTAGTCACAACTTGACACAAGATACAAATGTCACAAACTTTGAAAGAATAGTAGATGGAATTATATTAAAATTAAAAACTTGTTTTCTTAAGATATACAGTGAAAAGGGGTGCTATAAAGTATATATCCTACGAAAAACAAGTGACAGAAAAAGGCAGGTAAGACCTAACCTGTGAGTCATGACCCCTTTGAGGGATTAATGACCCTTTCACAGGGGTTGCATATCAGATGTCCTGCATATCAGATACTTATATTACGATTCATAATAGTATCAAAATTACAGTTATGAAGTAGTAATGAAAACAATTTTATGGTTGGGTCACATAACATGAGGAATTGTATTTAAGGGTCACAGCATTAGGAAGGCTGAGAACCACTGCTTTAGATTAAAGGAACAGTCTTCAGAAACATACTTCTTCAAGAGGATAGCTTAATAACATATCATCCTTACAAAAATATTTGCCACTAAATACACACACACACACATACACACACACACAAACCTGAATAAGACTGCACAACTAAAATTCACATATATTGCTAACAAAGAATAAACTGAAAAAAAAAACATTTGGGAAAACTGTTTATCACAGACCACTGAAGTTTTAAAAACATAATCCTACTATATTCAGCAAAGCTGAATGCAAATGACCACTAAAAGTATTATGTACAAGAGTCACCATAGCGCTGGGCGGTGGTGGCGCACGCCTGTAATCCCAGCACTTGGGAGGCAGAGGCAGACGGATCCCTGTGAGTTCGAGGCTAAGCTGGACAGACAGCCTCCAAAGCAATACAGAGAAACCCTGTCTCGTAAAAAAAAAAAAAAAAAAAAAAAGAGTCACCATAGCATCATTACCCAAAAAAGTCCAAAACTGACAGCATCAATAGAAACAATGGATTATAAAATTCAATGGGATGCTTGTGTACATAACAGCAAATAGGCTGGAGTAAGCCACATATGGTAGACTATTTGCCTAGCATGCTAAAAACCTTGGGTTCAAACCTTAGCACCACATAAACAAACT